AGAGAGAGAGAGAGAGAGAGAGAGAGAGAGAGAGAGGGGGGGGGTCAGATTTTGTGGAGGGCATTCGAGACAGAGACGATTGTTAACTTTCTGTTTTCGTATCGCTCTTGCAGTCACCTATAACGCCATAGTCGCCCTTCTCTCACCTCACTCTCCTCGGCCAGGGTGACCTTGGCTAGAGCTGGGTGGGAAGGATGGGGTTCTGGATCTCCTGCCATGCGCCTGGGTCAAATACCACACCCTTACAGCTCAACACGTACAGACACACACACAAACACACACGCACGCAAACAAAAAATGTCACAAATCCACCAAAACGCAAATAGTACACGAAACGCACTGTCAAAAATTACAACGGAGTTTTTTCAGGGAAAGTATATATGGGCCGCTCCGAAACAAATTAAATAAAGTGTTCCGTAGTCATTAAGCAAATTTTGTACGGAGTTTGTGACAATGTTCTGCAGTGTTCGCGCGATTTTAAATGTGGCATGATTTGCGACATCTTTTGACCATTTTCTATCAAAGTTTGCGAGTGTAGTGCTCTACGTCAATTGGTTTGATATTTACTTAATATACTCTACGGATCAAACAGAAAGTCCTCTAGATACCGCCAGTGCACGCGGTGCACGCGGAGGGCCTAGGTGAGGGCGACAAGCTCAAGCGATAGCTAAAGCTCCTCTCACCCCGCAGTTTCCTCCCCAACGTCTGCCTCTCATGCTCACCTCCTGGAACAGAGTAAGATGCATTTGAGTGTGTCTCCGCTGCCATCCGCGTCCCCAAGTCACTCGCGCATTGGTCAAAAGGTCATGTTTTTATTTTTTGCAAAGTCTCACGTTCCGCGCGCCCGAGGTACTTGAACAACAACAACAACAACAACAACAACAACAACAACAACAACAAAAACAACAACAACAACCTGTCAGCCTCTCGCTACACCAAACACCCCCTTCCCCTGCCCTTCGCTAAAGAGCTAGTCGACTTGGCGGAATTCAAACAAGTTACCACCCCCTCTGTGGAATTCCAGAGGACGCGGCGGTACCGTTGCAGCCGGTCCCAAACTGAGCGTTCTCAACTGGCGGGGGTGGCAATCTGCTGCAGGCGATGCGCGGGAGCGGGCGAGCAATGTGGAGTGAGATCGCAGTGATGGTTTCGGCGTGGATTTGGTTTCCTGCCAGTCGCCTGGATACGAATTCATACGCATGGGAGAGAAATGCGTGGCTGCAGCATTCTCTGCTCGCAAACCTGCCTCGCGAGCCCTCGGGCCGACCCCCCACCACTACCGCACCAGACAAACAAAAGAGAACAAAATGCTTCATTTATTTTTAAAAGCAGGAGTTTAGGTATGGAGATTGAGGTTATGGCAAGCCCTCGCGCGGTCCTCCCTTGAGTGGCATTCCTCCTCATCAAGGTGGTGACCCCCCCCGCCCCCGCCCCTCTACTGCGCCCCTGAACCATGACCCTCACGGCCTCCCTACGGCACGGGGCACCGTTAGCTGCCCGCCCCGCCCACACGTGGGACGCTAAACGCCACCCGCTGTATTTAAATTTCCGGCTCCTCTGTGGTCTGAGTGCCTGCTGGGGGTAGGCAACAGCCAGCGCACTATGCACGGCTGTGGTGTGGAGCGGCCTATCCAACCTTAGACGGGCGCTTCCGGAGGAACGGCTGGTCGGTAGGCAACAT